GTCTCTCTCTCTCTCTCTTTCGAGCGGGTTTTCCATTATGGCATTTTTCCGTAGGATTCACTTCCTGAGAGTTCTGGGCGCCCAGTCGACTCCCGCGTTTGTCGAACGCAACCAACGAGCGGGCGAACCGAACGGCGAACGGAACAACGAACGAACAGCTGGCGAGCGAGTGCGACGGAACAACAGCGAGTGGGCGAGTGGGTCGGAGCGACAGACGCTCCTGGGTTTCAGATTGTGAGTTTCGTTTGCCGGTTCGCTTTAGTTGGGTAATACACTCACAAAATTGTACACACTCTTAAAAAAAATTATATATTAAGATATAATATTAATATATTATCATGTTATATTGTAATATCATGAGTCTTTATGTAAAATTTAATATAATATAATAACAAAGGATCTCATCAGATTTTAGAAAACTTTGGATCTGTTTATAATTCCCAAGCAGTGATTCGGAATAAGCATTGTATAATTAGGAGTAAGCATTGTATAATTAATATTAAGTGCAAACTTTGGTATAAAAATCTCAAGTTAAGAACAATATATTGTAAAACTCCCAGATGACTCCAACCACTTCCCTTGCTTCAAAAGCTGTTCAATACTTTCAGTGTAAGGAGTCTACTTTATATGGATTGAGTGGGTGGCCTCCTCTCGCTACTGATTGTTACTGTTGTTGGCAAACGACTGTGCTTTTATCGTTTATTTGTGTCTGTGCTGGGGAGTTGGGAATGGGGTCTGCAAAAGGGGTTTCGAGTTCGTTTGTGGATGGTGTATGCTGGGTGGTAGATATGGGATGTACTTCAGAACAAGTGCCCAAGCCGAGCACCTCGGACCAAAGAGGATCCCAAGAAAATCGTTTAGCGGATAAAGTCTTAGGGGTAGAGCTGCCCTCAGGGCAAAAAAAAACTCAAGTTACGAGAACAAAAAGGCAAAAGATGAGCTTTTACCCCTGCAAAGTACCAGGCTATCAGATTCAGTTACTGGTTTTTAAGCCCAGAGGTTTTAAGCACAGAGCTCTAAAGTCAGAGAGTTAAATAATCTCAAAAATATTATTTTAAGTCTTTGATTCTTTATGAATCTAATTAAATTATTTTGTGTTGAACAGAATATTATAAAATATTTATTAACTACTCTTGAAGACCGATATGTAAAAACGCTTTAAATAAAATATGATATGCGGAGTTTTTTATGCAAATCCCTGTTTTGCAAAAAGGTTGTGTGATGTTTATTACAATGACAAACGAGATCAAAGAAAAAGTGCGAAACAAAACCTTTTTAACCCTACATTCTAAATTGGTTGACTCTTTTTTTTTGTGCCTACCTATCCCCAGATGAGCCTTTTCAGATTCCATTACAAAGTCCATTAATCTGCCGGCAATCACAAATCGAACTTGCTCAGTGGTTCATTTAGCTGTCAGGCCCAGTCTGGACCGAAAGGACCAAAAGGACCTCCCTTAAGCGACAAACAAATATTGTCTGGGGTTTTATTTAACGGACAGTTGCCAGAATGGCATTGCTACCAAATTCAATTGCCACATCCGCCAGCGACTTGTCACGGGTGGTTGAAGAAAGACGCTTCTGCTCCCAACCACTTTAGATGTGGATATGGATGTTTTCTGTTTTATTTCTGGGTGCGTAGTACCCGGTGCCCGAGATCCTTGAGGGTTGCTCTCGCTGTTGTCATGGTCACTCGATTGCTGCAATTAATATTAAAAATGATTTCATTCCCGGTGGCTGGTGGCTGGGCCTCCTCCAACCCTTGGAACACCGGGGAAAAAGTCGTTGTGATCTGTTTGTGGCATGGGTTTCGGCACAATATAGAGTGGGTGACGGGATGCCGATTCCGCATCCGATTGCGATGGTGATGGTGGTGTGTTAATGCATATTTCAGACACGTGCTGGCTACGCTTCTTTGATTTAATGCACAAGGAGCTGGGTGGCGAGTGGTTGGTTGGGGAAAATGGAAAAATGGTTTGAAAAAAGGTTGCCATCGAGAGGAGCGGTGCGGAAGGCAATGATGAGCGGCTTAAAATATTTGTAAAGACCTTTTTATTAAAAACAAAAATCGGTTTTAAAGATTATTTGTTCGTCTGGCGGGCAAAGAAACCCCACTCCCTCGCCAATCCCTTCGCCTCGAGAACCTTTGTTTGCCTGGGCGTGATATTTTAATTACGACCTGACGATGTCTGATGTAGATATGTAAATTCGAGTGTACGTGTGATTATTGAGTGCTTTGAATGCTGACTTATGTTCCCTGGTGGTGGGGTGGGCCAACCGGGGCTGTCTTGGGGCAAACGCACACAAAGGGTTAAATATTCGAACTATTAATGCGCCGGTGGAAATGGAAAATGGAAATTTACTACCCAAAAAGTTTCACCAAAAAACTTACCCAGAACCCCGGAGGTCTGGGCGTTCTTGTCCTTATAAAGTGGCGAACAATGAAAGGAAGTGCAAACTTTATCAGACGATTTGAAAGGAAATGACTTAATTAATATTGAAAAATGTTAGGGACTTTATTGGGTGGAATGATAGTGAAATAATAAGGATGACCAACCCTTAAACATTTTTTCTGAGTGGATAAAATGTAGTAAAAATATAGGGTTCTTTAAGATTTATTACAAAAATTCTTTATTTCTTTTCTTTTGTATTTTATGCATTTTATATAGCACTTTTTTGCTTTAGTAGGTATTTTCTGAAAAAACATTTTCTTATAAGATATAATTTTATTGGAATTTTAATTGACAAAAGTTGTTTCACCTTGCATGAATTAATTCACGCATCAGCTATAAATTTCTTTATAAAGGTACAAAAAAGTTACTTGGGCATTCCGATGAACTTTAGTCTCTGGGGCTACCAAATTAGATTTAAGTTTAATTACCTAAACGATTTATGGATCCCTGAGGTGCTATCCTGATCTTTTAAAATTCCTTAAACGTATTTTTATTTCTTTTCTTATCCTTAACTATTGTTGGCTGAATTATTTTGCCTATTTGCGGGACATATGCTATTGTATCTCCCCCTCTTTGTGGATATTCCCCTGACATATGCTCTCTAGCTTGGACCATAGATGGTATTTCCTGACCCTCCTGATTGCCCTGCCCCCCCTTCTCACCCCCTCCATTGTGTTGGCACTTGCGAGTGCGTTTTTTATGCCATGTTAAGGCCACTTTATGCGCTTTTTATGAGTCCGCAGCATCATAAAAAAAATTCTTTCCCCCACTCATACACACAAATAGTTATGCTTTTGTGTGAACTGGCAAGCGCACACACAGCCATTTATGATTTTTTCCACTCGCTTATATATTTTTATATTTATTGATTTTGTATTAAAAATGTAAGTGCGGGCTTTTAGTTTGGTTGTTTTTTCCACCCAGGATGGTGTAAAGTTTTTTATGATATTGAAATAAAGCGATACACATTCAATAAATATAAATAAATAACGTTAAACAGAACGAAAGGTTTTCAGAGCTGCATTCTAAAAAGAACGAAAGAAATGTTGAGTAAGGAATGAAAAGGTGAAATCAAATATTTTTAGTGCGTAAAAAAAAGAGAGAGGGAATTTGAATAAAAGGTTACTTTGGTGATACGAATATGTGATTCATGAGTTTTCATCTTAGGAATATATTTTGTAAAAACAAAATGAAGTTATATTTTTGTATATTATTTTTAAGAATTTAAATTTAAAATATTTTATGTATTTTTACATTTACTTCTTATATTTTCTGGTCAGTTATTTTTAGCACTTATTTTATTAGGGTATCTTGTCGTTTATATCATTTTCTAAAGCATTTTCCCTTGTTTTTCTTTCTGAATGTAACATCGCCAAAGGGTAAAAGCAAAAATATATGCTGATATATATATTTACAAACAGGCGACGATTGCGACTCGATTATTTACAATTTGATTTTATTTTTACAGCCATTGACAAACAGGAGGGAAAAACTCGGTGATACGGTCGTGTGAATGTGTGTGTGTCCCTGCCCGAAAGGCATTTCCCGGCGCAGTGAGAAAAATCAATCAAAATCGATTTAAAAGCACAACTTCCGTTGCGGATTTACCAATGTCCGTGTGTGTGTGTGAGTGTGTGCGTGTGTTTGCCATTGGGCTTGTGGGTGTGTGTATTGTGAAAATGTTACCAATTTATTTGTTTTTATGCCCTCGTGTGTGTTTTATTGCCTCAGCTTTTGTTGCTGTCATTGTCGCTTTGTTGCCTTCATCCGAGTCCATTTCCCATTTCCCCCTTTTCCACCCATTTCCATCCCATCCCCCAAAAAAAAGGGGAATCACTTTGCATGCGTCCGTCTTCTGCTTTCACACACATATTTGGTCAATTTTCAATAACGGAATTGAGGCACAAACACCCGCACATCACACCCACACACATAAGCAGGCACTGAACGCATTTACAATTGGATTTTTGTGTTTTTTTTAAGGGTAAAGGATTTGCTCGGGGACTGGAAGGCCGAACAATAAAAGAGTGGAAACGGCATAAATACGTAATTCAGGACATTTGAATTTTTCATAAGGACATGACCCACATACAAAATAAAACACACAAAAATTATTACAATTCTCTGGTGCTCACACATATTGGAAAATTCTTGTGCGTGTGTATGTGTGTGTGTCGGAAAATCCTGCTTCAGGGTGAAGGAAATTTGCTTTTATTGCTGATAGTTTGCATTGTAATTGAGTGGAAACAGGACAGAGATATGCAGGAAAAGAGACAGAGAGAAAACGAATCTGTGAAATACTAGAATATGAATGTAGGAGTTTTCGGTAGTCAAACAACTTGTTGGCCCAAATGAAAGTGTGACTTGAGGAAATCACTTGAGGATAATAACTTCTGAATGGAAAATTATAATTGAGTTTGGCGAGAAAGAGAAAGATGAGTTTGAAGTCACTTAAAATGCAATTATTATGGTAATATTCTAGAACATTCTATCTATTATTTAGTACTTACAAACTATGGATTCTTTTTTTTTTCCTAGTTATAAAACTAAATCAATTTGTCACTACAAAAAAGGCCAATCTAAAAAACCCATTGACTTGGAAAATGTATTAGACTTTAAGAAACGTGTCACATTACAAAAAACTTCAAGGGGAAATCCCAAAACGATAAACATCGATGATTACATACTGAAACAAGTGACAGCTTTCACTTTGCCGAAGATATCACATTGCTAGCATAACCAATAAATCACAGGATGTCCATAAGTCACACCTTCCCACATTCATTTCCCCTTGACTTCGATTAAATTGACACCGAACCCGATATCCCCCGACCTTCAACCCAAGATATGTAATAGATAGGAATCGCAGTTGGCCAATTACTGCCCCATCTCCATCTGGCACGCAATCCTGTACCACCTGAACCACCCGTATAACCACCCGAATCGCCTTCTGACATTTGGCATCACTTGAGTGCCCGGCCACCTGACAAATACCTCGGATATCATTCACGCCGGGAATCGGAATCATTCACTCATATCGCCAGCCACTGATTGGCATTGACAGACGTCGACGCAGACGCGTCGCCGGGCAACTGCAATTTTGTATCTTGATAAATTACTTATGACTGGCCCAGACATTGATGGGTACTCGGCACTCGGTGCCCAGTTTTCGGCGGGGGGAGGCCTCGGGCACGCAGCACAAATCACTAAGTGCGCACCTGAAAACATTCAACGATAAGTAAACAACGTGCAAAATGGAATAAGAGTGTTGGGCCGGAAGAATACCCATTAAAAAGTGTTTAAAATAGCACAAAAGAAAATTCATTTTTGAGAAGATCTATCGTAGTTATAATAAATACTCAACTGGTCTAGAAATATGTAAGCCCAAGTAACTGAGATCCAAAGAAATTTTATTTTTACGAATCTTAATATAAAATCATTTTTATAAGTGGAAGATATGGTAGATATAGATAATATATTATATTATATCATTGTATAATATATTCAGGATAGAATTTTCAAATATATTTATTATTTTTTCGGAACCTAAGGACTCAGGCAGTTAAGATTAAATAAAATTTTTAATACAGCTTTGACAGACTTTCTTTTTAGTAGGTTCTCCTTTATATCTTAATTTTTCAAAGGAATACCTAAAGCTCTATAATATTTGTGAAAATAAACAAGCAGCCAAGAGAGAAATAAAAAATAATATTTAGAAAATAAGTAGAAAAGAGTTTGACTGTGGGTGTTGACAAAAAAAGGGTGCAACTGAGGGTATACCAAAATGAATTAGTAATAATATTTGCTTGTTTGCCTTTGTACAGCTTATTCTTTCTACACCCCCTCCCCCAACCATCTTGCACATTTTGCGTTCTTTATTTTTTTCGCAAAAGTTTTTCTCTTTTTCGCCATACTTATAACGATTTCGTAGCTGTTTCAGTGTTTTGGCAGCCAACAAAGGCGACATCGAAATGGGTTGCTGGGCGCTACGAAGGGGGCAGAAAAGTGGGGAAATCGATGAGACGACAACTTGTGATGGAGGTTTGGATATATATACTTATAGAGGTATGGACGCGGTGGAGGCGTCGCCGACGGCGTCGGTGGGACAGTTAATGGCGACAACGGCGGCGCACGTCTGGGTCTGGAAGCCCCGACTTTGGCGACGGCTATGCGATCCGCTGATGGTAATGGTGACTCTGGTGACGGTGTCGTCGACCAGACGAAATCCCGCCAGCAGGCGGTATCGGAGAAAACAGACTCCTTGGGAATGACAGAGGACCGAAAAAACAAACCAGGACGAAGGACCTCATTCCCATCCCCATCAGTTGAGTAAATCAAACCAATTTCAAAACTCAACTAACCAAGCAGACAATAACAAATCACGTCCAACGAAAAGAGGATGTGATGGATGAAGCATTTACTTAATGTTTGAATGACTCTAAACGAGGGAAAGGTTCTATTAAATTGGAATTATTTTTCAATATATTGAAAATATCCTATAGGATATATGTTTTTAAAAGCGTTAGTAAGCACAATAATCAAATTCTTATAATAAACAAAAAAATGAAATCCTATTTCGTACTATATTAACATTCAATATTCCTTCCTTAATATTAAATATTCTCTTCTATTCATTTTTTACTTTTGAAATATAAATTTAATATTTTCTTCTATTCATTTTTTACTTTGAAATTAATTTAACAAAAATTATAGACTTAGTCAAGCTTTTAAAATCATAATGAATAAATACTTAAATTATAAAAAAAGTCACATCCTGTTTCAATTTAAAATTAAAAGAATTTTTTCTTTCTTTTTATTTATTATTGGGAGTTAAGGTTTTAAGATTTATGGTTCTAAAAGAACAGTTCTGCTCAGAAGAATATTTGAATATATTTTTTAGATGTGTAAGTAAAAGAAAATGTACAATTAATTGTTTACCCAAACCTTCAAAGGTACAAAATTAAAAAATATCAGACAAAGCACCAGTACTCGACCCTTTAATTAGAAAATCAAACATAGCTTTGAACGACAAATAAATGGGGAATTTTTTTAGCCATCGATGTCAACCTCCGTCAAAGCACAATTTTTTATGAATTCAATCAATGAAAACATAACTGGCTCTTCATCCCTTCATTGCAAATATATATCAGCCAGACAAATCGAAATTACTTTTGGCCAGAGGTTTGGGCTTTCATCCAGATTCCCGTCAAATGGAGCGGGTGAGATTCTTAATAACGACTTCCGAGGGGCGCTTAAACTGTTTGCTCTTGCCTCGTTGATTGTGTTTTTTCTGCATTTGTTTGTTGATGTTTCTGATTCAGAATCGACTGCCGCCGATGCACACGCGCCCATGGTAAACACACTTGAAAAGCGATTCAGTCAACAGTTCAGCAGACAGTTGACTCGTGGAAGACGGCCCCCCAAAAAGAAAGCTTGCAAAGGGGGGACATTCCACCCACTTAGCCAGCCCAACCACCCACTGTTGTCCTTGGGTAAACACGCAATTTTCCACTTTTTCGACCGCTGCACGTGCTGAGAAGCGGCAAGAACAATGGCAACAATCAGTCGATAAGTAAAATTAAAATAATAACAAATTTCTGAAAGAAGCACCAGTCAAATATAATCAACGCAATGGGAGCAAAAAAAATTAAATCGAGTGCGAGTGGGGTGCGAATTCAATGGAAAACCGATTTTCCATTTAACTCATAAAAATTATTTCGTATACGAATTTGTTTAGAGATGCGATTCGATTTTCGTATATTAAGTAAAAGCACAAACCGAGTGCGTGTGTGTTTCGGTTTTTGTGTAGGAATGTTGCTTCGTATGTTTGTTTACAATGCCGGCAACAAGTTGATGGCTATTGAGTGGGAGAGAATAAATATGTTTAATGATTGTTTTTATAATTCTTCCCCAAAGCCGAAAAATTGCGCAATTCCCTTCAATGGAAAATGCCCAAAAGAAAACAACTGGCAGTGAAAATATTCACTTCCTCTTTGATAAATCAATACAGAAAATCAAACCTATCATATCGGCTATAGCCACCAAGCAACAAATTGCTCACTTCTCTGGGTGTGTATATAAAATTCTCTCTTTGTATTCATTGTGTAAATGTTCAAGGAAACCGAAAAAGACCCAGTCTGTCTTTTATCCTTTTCTACGCCACTCGATATCTCCCCATCACCCCCCAAAAAAATGGAAAAAAAATAAGAAAAGAAAAGCTGAAAATGTTTCGCCCACTCTTCGGTGGCCCTAAATAAGTAACCCGAACACGTTCTTTGTTAGATTTATATGGAAAATATATTTTTATACATGCAACCCAATGAATCCCGACCCGAAACCTCCGCCCCAACCACCCACTGGCCCACCCACCACCGCCCGCTGTGAGAAAGCTGGCTCCTTGGGGGTGGCTAGACTTTCCCGGCTAGTCAAAAGTGATATTTTACATATTTTCCGACAGTTTTTCCTTTACTCTCCCACTTTCCTGTCCCTTCTTGGCTGCTCCTTTTTTTTTCTTGCCGAGCTTTTCTTGCATTTTATTACTTAACGCTTAAGTGTGCTTCTTAGGAGGGAAAATGGTGGGTTTTTTCCTTGCCGGGTTTTCTGTTTTAAATTGAAAAGTTGTAAAAGGATTTCTTGGGTTGCTCCTTTTTTTTTTGTTTTGCTCTCCTAGAGTTTGGCAAATTAAACACTTCTTTTTTGTTTTGGGAAATGATCAAACAGAAAACTTTTATTTAACAAATATGGTGGAATGGTGTGGAATAACAGCGATGGGTTGTGAAATGAAACAATGGGTGGGGCGAATGAAAACAATGAAATCAGGTTTTATCACAATTACCAGCTGGCACCGCCCTGGGGAGCCCAACCACCGCTGGAGGAACCGCCCGAGGACCAGCCGCCACTGGAAGCTCCACCGGAAGACCAGCCACCACTGGGAGAACCACCCGATGACCAACCACCGGAATCCCCAGCTCCAGAGTCCGATTCCGAGATGATTTTGATGATCTTCACGGCAGCGGGTGCCTCGGCACCACCACCTCCTCCAGAGGACCAACCACCGCTGGGAGCTCCTCCCGAAGACCAGCCGCCACTGGAAGCACCACCCGAAGACCAACCGCCGCTGGAAGCTCCTCCATATCCTCCGGAAGAACCGCCATAGCCTCCACCATGACCTCCAGACGAAGCCTGCTGCGAGATGATCTTGATGATTTTGATCTCCTGGGCACCACCGCCATGGCCGCCACCTCCTCCAGCAGACCAGCCACCGCCGGAACCACCTCCAGATTGCCAGCCTCCTGCACCACCGCCTCCTCCTCCAGGTTGCCAGCCTTCTGAGCCGCCGGATGGAGCAGATTCGTGGATCACTTTAATGACTTTGACAGGTGGGGATCCACCACCGCCATGGTGATCAGAGCCGTGATCAGAGCCACCGCCGCCATAGCTGTAGCCACCATCTCCGCTGCCATGTGAGGATCCACCACTGTAGCCACCGTGGGAAGAACCACCACCACCGTAGCCACCACCACCACCTGCTCCTCCAATGAATCCTGCTTGAGCCACAGCGGCCGCAGCCAGCAAACAGACGAAGATTTTCATGTTGACCTGATGGAGATGAGCCAAAGCGTCGAACTGATGTCTCTGCCCCGTCGTGGTTACACTTTTATAGAGCGAACCACCGCGTTTTGGTGGCGGCCTTGTCCGGAAGCACCACGCAAGTGGTGCAGTGCAACACTACGGACACCCCCGGGCCAGTTAACAGTATTAACACAGGCTCGAGTGGCTACGGCGAAAGCCTCGGTGGGTTGATGTCGAAAGACTCTCCCCTAACCTAACCGCAATTGAAGGCTACATTTGCTGATCGAATCAGTTGGGAAATGGATTTAATAAGTGAGTGAAATACACTTAACTTTGGGGGCAACATGTCATTAAAAGATGTTATGATATATCATAAATTTTATAAGGTTATTAAATTATTTGTTGAGCTGTGGATTTTTGTTTTGAGAAATAAACCCTAATTTGAAGAAAATGTGTCTTATATAACTGCTATGTATACTTTCCCATTATTAATTAATAAATTTTTTCCCGAAATATATATACTTTAAGGAAACGTTATGGGTCGTTTGTTACATCTTAAGTAATTAAATGATATTTTAAGAAGAAATATATTTATATCTTTGGAAAAACTTTGGATGAATAAATCAGACCTACTGTGTAGTAAATTAGTATCTGGTGGTAGAGTATCTGATCATCGACTTCGGTCAAAATTTGTTATACTTTCTCGTGATTTGTTTGGATTATGTAATCAAATACACAGCCAACAAACAAATAAGCGAGCAGGCAGCCAACATTATTTTTGGCGCTTCGAGCGCACTTGAATGAAGTTTTTCCCCCTGATCGCACAAACATCTGCCCGTGCCCGTGACTCTGCCTCCGCTTTCCGCCGATCGAAGCCGTGATTAATGAGTGCGGAGTTCAAAACGCAGGTGATCGGGCCCAGGTGAGAGGACAAGTCGACGGGCAGGCGAGGTTCGTGCGCTTTCAACTGTCCCTGACATCGATTTCTGGCCTACCGCTTATAGTTGTTACGCATGCGATTCAGATGGGGTTACTCAAAATACACACAAAGAAAAACCATTAAAATTGGTTGATAATATATAATATTTATTTAAAAATCCATTTTAATATTTTTAAACAAACTATAATACTTTCGTAACCAAACCCATTTAAAGAAAATATATTTTAAAATTGCGAATCAAAACTTCTCTATGGCCAAGTCTTCAAGGTATTGTATACACTTATAAAGAAAGGTAAACAAATATCATAAAAAATTTTTGATTTATTATACTGGAAACCAATGTTGCTTGCATTTGGTGATTATTGTGATCAATAATAATTCCTGTTTTTCTCAGTGATTGGAATTTCTCATCTGCTTTTAGTTTTCGACTTTTTCCCGGTGCATTGTCTCCTGTATTTTTCGGAACCCATGCCATTCTTACCTCGTTCATTCATCCGTTCCAGCACCTTTGCATCCATTCATCGATCATCTAGCTGGGGGCTACAGTTCTCAATGAGACGTCAAGTTCTCATTAAGACGAGAGCCGCATGCAAATGCCAGATCAATTAATCAATTTGTTTTGCCAATAAATACGACTAAATATGGCCAACGATCTCTGCCAATAATGATAAATGGTTTCACCAGCTTGGTTTTTCTGCTTTTGCAGTCCATTTGGCTTTATGTTATTTTATCTCTTTACATTTTCACTCGGCCAAATGAATTCATTTAAGCAAAATGA